TCTGAATGTCCCTCTTGATGAGAATCTACCATGTGGTGACTACTACGTAAAGGAGCAACATGGAAAGCAAGACGCCAGGCTCCACAGTGACTTTAATGACATTTCAGTTACTGATAGACCACAGGCATGACAGTGGGCCCATAAGATTATAATATCATATTTTTACTGAACATTATCTATGTTTAGGTATGTTTAGATACACAAATACTTACCACTGTGCTACAATTGCCTGCAGTGTTCAGTACAGTAACATGCTGTGTGTGTGTGCAGACTGGGAGCAACAGGCTGTATCATATAGCCCAGGTGAGCAGTAGGCTATGCCACCCAGGCTTGTGTACATACATGCCATGCTGCTCGCATAATGACAAAACCGCCTACTGGTGGATTTCTCAGAACATACCCCTGCCCTGTCATTAAGTAATACATAGATATTATATGTATCACTATATGTATCACGTTGTTACGTGACTATATCATGTTACAAAGAAACAGGGATACATCATTGTAACAGCACAGTGATGGCGGGTAGCCAAGTACACCCCACACCCCACACATGGGAATCCACCACAAACGGGACCAGACCCTGTCGCACATCCCAGTGAGAACTGGCACCCTGAATCAGGCAAACAAGAGCATATAACATGCGCCGCTTACAAACTGGTTCTGTGGAAAACTTAAAAAATAAAATCAAGAGGACTAAAACATCTCCTCAAACGGGTGAAGTAAAATGATACTTTATGCATAGCATATTATTTCCCCCCAAAACTTTTTAATTTTAAACACTGTCAAACTTATGAAACAGTTGAAAGAATAAAACGTGCATACCAGTATATTCCTTCACTTAGGTTTACTGATGGTTTACATTTTTGCCACATTTTCTTGCTTTCTCTCTTCCTCTCTGGAGGGTAGAGTGGTAGAGAGGGAAGGGGAAGCAGGGGGGAGGGGGAAAGAGGGGAGGAGAGAGAGAGAGAGAGAGAGAGAGAGAGAGGGGAGGGAGGGAGGGAGAGGGAGGAAGGTGTGCAAACATATATATGCATACATAGCACATTTTTCTACATCAGTTCATTAAGATGGGATAAGGAATATATTTATATGTGTGTATCATGACTTTTTTATAGCAAGTTGCATAGATTCTGACACTCCACCCCAATACATCAGTGCCCATCTCCTAGAGTAAGGACATTTTCCTTCATAACCACATAACCATGACCACAACTGTGAAGACAAACATAGATTCAATAACTTCATCTCCTAGACAGTCCTCAAGTAACTGTACCAACTGGCTCTTTTTTCCAAGCCAGGAGCCATTCAAGGTTCAGGTATTGTTATATTTCCCGGTCTTTTGAAACCTGGAATAATCCTCCCACCTTTCTTTGTTTCTCGTGACACTGACTCTTTTAGCAGGACCGGGGCCAGTCATGTCAAAGCAATGTGCTACATTGCATATTGGCCTCATGTTTCCTTGTGATCAGATTCAGGCTGAACAACTGTGGCAGGTACTCTACACAGGTCTTGATAGCCTGACATTGAGAGGTACATGATGCCCAGCACACCTGGTTAAGGCTGTGACCTTCACCTTCACATTGCTCCACCCTCCCTCACCATTTACCTCTTCACTTTTCCTCCATTATTTCTGCTGAGACACATTCCACAGCAACATTTTTTTGCAGTTGGGATTAATATCTTGACACTAAAACATGCTTATCATGGGTATTTGCTGCCCTGATTAAGGATTACCATCCACTTGAAAAACCTTTTCATCACCATCAAAGGATTTAAAAAACAAAAAATTAACCTACTGACAACCTTAGTATATGTTTCAGCAGAATTAAGCCAAGAGACTTCTGACAGGTTTATTCAAATAAAATGATATCCCACAAACAGGAACTTTCCTTTTTTTGTAGATGTTTTACAATAAAGTTATATTTTAACATCTTAAACATTGTCTTTGGAGGGGAACGGATTAGAAACACTAGACAACCAAAGTCCTCACCCGCTTAAGCAGAGGGAGAGAATTTCACATGCTCTATTCAAGGAATCCTGAATTCAGAACTGCGAAACACATTAAAATGCCCCAGTGAGGACGGCTTCGTGTTGCTGAGACGGAACGGATATTGTTATTAGGTATTTAGGAACAGATATTTTAGCCCCCACAGAAAGACTCCCGCTTCGCATCAGGACAGTAGGAAAGGATAATGAATGCTGCGTCCGTTTATCATGAATTAATCATGAGCCTTTGCAGCCGCATACTTCTAATTAGCTCCAGAGTCTGTCAATTTTCTCAGAGCCCTTCTAGCTGGGTCTAAAGAATGTCAATCTCCACTATAGACTAAAATGACAAAAAAAAAATGTACTTTAAGCATTTTGCTGCAAAATGTACAGTTGTTTTTCAGAGGAATAAAAAATGAGAACTCCACTTAGCAAGTACAGAAGGCTTTGATAGCTAGGTCGGAAATCAAAGCCACCTCCTATATTACCAATGATTTTAGAAAATAAATTATTCTTTAAACACCCAGAAAGTTTGTTTCTGGAACAACAACAACAAAAAAAGGAACACCCGGTCCTTTTAAAGAGCAAATTAACAGAAATGACAATAGAAAATGAGTCTGTTAAGCTGCTCAGTATTTGCGATGAACACAATCCGAGTCTTTAAGCTTGTAGGATGTTCCTTTCGGTCGGAGAATTCTGTGCTACAGGGTTTTAGCCTTACAGAAAAACAAACAAAGAAACAAACAAAAACCCTAAAAAGTCATTGTCTTTTTGTTCTCTTTAATTCTAACTCAGATCCCCCAAAGTAAAAGACCATTGCATATTGTAGGATGAAAGAGAAGATTAAGTTTAGAGTCTCTTTCTCCATAGAGCAGGGTTTCTCGACCTCAGCACTAGGGGCATTTGGGGATTGTGGGGGACAGGGGAAGGTTGTCTGTCCTGTGCACCGCGGGACGGTTGGCAGCATCGCTGGCCTCCACCCACTATGTACCAGTCGCCAAAGTCTCTCTGGAGGGCAGAGCTTGCCCAGACACAGGGCTACGACCATCACTGACCCATCAGTCCGACTGCGTTTTGAAGACCATTAAAAATCACCCTGGCAAGCTCTTGCAGCTCCCGTCACCCTGGCTGGACAAATCATCAAATCTTCATCATGTTTTTCCCTACAAAAAGGGGGTCATCTCTTGCTCTTTATAACTTCCTTATGCAACTGTCCTTCTCACCCCTTTTCACAGAAGCGGCATAGAGAGACGAAACAGCCCCCGAGCAAGCGTGGCAGCGGTGGGAGCTGCGTGCCAGGCTGCGGGGTCTCTGACTCCAGGGCAGGGACCCACTTCGGGAGAACTTCTCACGATGATTTTGACCCTAATGTCTCTTCTGAAACCATCTCTTTGCCCGCTTCTCTGAGCTTGTGGCTACGGGGAACGATAGAAAGGTTGTGACGCCCAAAGTGCCCCCTTGATGTCCTGATGGCAGAGAGTCATGACCCTGCAGGTTTGCCCAAGAGAAGCCAGTATGATCACAGGGGTGCTCACCAGCAGGGTCTTTGCAACCATGCTTCCCGTCCCACCCCAGGACCTTCGCCACACTCACTGCTAGAGGATGAGAGGAGCTCTTCCTGCAGGCAGGGACCCTACTCTGCCCTCAGCCCTCGACTCTACCAGGGGAGGTGCTCTGCCTGTAGGGACAGAAGCCACCTTGTCCCTCAGCCCTCACTTCTACCAGGGGAGGTGCTCTGCCTGCAGGGACACAAGCCACCTTGTCCCTCAGCCCTCACTTCTACCAGGGGAGGTGCTCTGCCTGCAGGGAGGAACCCTGCTCTGCCCTGAGGTTTATCTCCACCAGGGAGGTGTCCTTCCTGCAGGGACACAAGCCACCTTGTCCCTCAGCCCTCACTTCTACCAGGGGAGGTGCTCTGCCTGCAGGGAGGAACCCTGCTCTGCCCTGAGGTCTTATCTCCACCAGGGAGGTGTCCTTCCTGCAGGGACACAAGCCACCTTGTCCCTCAGCTCTCAGCTCCACCAGGGCAGGTGTTCTACCTGCAGAGAGAGACCCAGTTTTGCCCTGAGCTCTCACCTCCACCACGGGAGGTGTCCTTCCCGCAGGGAGGGACCCTGCTCTGCCCCTCAGGTGTGGCATCAGAAAAGCAGTTGAGGCCGGGTGCACGGGCGCACTGGGAGGCCAAGGTGGGAGGATTGCTTGAGCTAAGCAGTTTGAGACCCACCTGAGCAAGAGCCAGACCCTGTCTCTACTAAAAATAGAAAACTTAGCCAGGTGTCGTGGTATGTGCCTGTAGTCCCAGCTACTGGAGAAGCTGAGGCAAGACAATGGCTTGAGCCCAGGAGTTTGAGGTTGCTGTGAGCTATGATGAAGCCACTGTACTCTAGCCCAGCACAACAAAATGAGACTCTGCCTTAAAAAAAGAAAAGGAAAGAAGGAAGGGAGGGAGAAAGAAAGGAAAAAAGAAAGGAAGATGGGAATGGAAGGAGAGGAAGGGAGGAAGAAAGGAGGAAGGAAAGGAAGGGAGGAAGGAAGGAAAGCAGTTGAGAACAGCAGGTGTACCATGATCCTTCCCATGTTGCAGGGGTTTGCACCTTTCAACTAGAGCTGCCTCCAATTCCGGGGAGATGCATCACACCATTTACACACCCACACCTGTGTTTTCCTCAAGACTTCCCTCGGGACTCGCCTCATGCTCTTGCTCACCAGATTGTGCATGTTGCCCCCGCTGGCCCTGAGCAGTTTTTCTCCAGAAAAACATACCTGCCCACTGATGCTCCCTGTTGGCCAACGTGACCTTCCATCGGACAGTCCTTTCTGAACGAAAGGGACCACTGGGACAGCCACATGTCCACATCATCCCTGTAATATCAGAAGGTCCCCAACACCAGCACAAAGGTCACCACCTGCTACTCCTGGACTTAGACAACGCAGTCATGTGAGTTGAACATCTGTGCACAGCTGGTGCTATTTTCACACCGAAGGTCCACACACATGTTTGTCACACTTACGGTACTAATGCTGTCAGACAAGCGTGAGCGGTTGTCCTCGGGAAGATCTTAAGTGGCTGTGATCACCATGTGCAGGGGCAGCGACTGTGTGGCTCTCAGCAGAGACAGACCAAGGTCTTTGGGCTCATCTGTGGATTCATTCAAAAGCACAAGAATCAGGAATGGAATAACCACATGTCAGGGCACTTACATGAACAAGCACTTTCTTGCCTAGAGGATTCCTCTTCCTCCCACTCGCTGTCTAACTCCCAACCAGCCTGCCTCCATGTACTGCCACTGCCTCAAAGAAGCCCCCCGTGATTATCCCATAGAAAGCAGGCTCCCTCTTCCTGGCTACCACAGCACCTTTCCCTCCTTGATAGCAATTATTACTATTTGCAATAATATATCTAGTTAGTCATCTATTTACTGCATAGCTGCCTGCCCAAAATGTTCCAAGGATCCAGAGGGCAGGGCCCATTATTATATCATTTGTTTGCCATTGCAAGCACTCAATAAATGTTTCCTGAATAGGTCTGGGGTTACAAAGCTGTCGTGATACCTGTTTTCACAGTGAGTTAAGGATGCTTGCCTGTTTAAATGGTTGATAAAAGAAAAATGCTTTGTGATATGGGAAAAATACATAAGATTCAAATTTCAGCGTCTGTAAATAAAGCGTATTGGAACACAGCTATGTTGTGTTTATGCATTATCTATGGCTGCTTTTGTGCAACTGTGCCAGAGTTGAGTAGTTGTGGCAGAGATTGGCCCGAAAAGCTGGAAATATTTACTATCTAGCTCTTTACCGATATGCAGCCCTAGACACGAATTGCAAGTGAGCTCAGAAGAAACCCAAGACGACAGCTTTGAACCTACTGAAGAATTTTCTTTTTAGTTGTTGACATTTAGACAAAAACTACTATATGTCTCGAACAATTTGTTAGTGTATAAATCTATCATTTATGCTTTAAAATATGAAGTGCAATTCCACTTGGTAAAAAAATATTCACAAGAGACCATCACCTTAGAGAAAAATGACTATTCTATACATTTTTGTAAATGAGGATTTTGCTTTATTGAAGTGAAGCTTCCAACAAGAATTTCTTAGGTTCCATCAGAGCCTCAGAAATGTGATTTTCGCCCCCCAGAGATGGCATTTTAAACTGTCATCCATCTTCCAGCATTGCTTTTCATGTTGGATCCTTGATGAAATGGAACACTGTGCTGTCAACATTGACCTTTAACCTCCCACAGCAGGAATGACAAAGCCACTGGGCAGGGCCGTGTCTTCTGCTCGCTCACCATGAATGACATCAGTGGGCTAGACCAACATTGCTCAGATGTGGATCAGAACCATCAGGAGACTCTTCTTGCAAGGTAGGAGAGATCCAAATCATCATTCCCTTTCCCCCGAGCCTTGCTTTTTGACCACACATTTTATTTACAGAAAATAGATTTCAAGGTATCAGCATGGCAGCCCTGTGACTACACATGATATAGTCTGTGCTTGCGACCCCAGGAGAGTAATGAAGAAGAAACAATTCTGCAGGGATTAGGTCACCATACCTATCACGGCGGCATTGCCAGGAAGTGTCTACACCTGCAGCATGAAACAGCATGAAGCAAAATCTCAAGGCCCGCACTCAGAGGACATTTTTCAAGAGAGTCCTAGAGGAGTTCTCACGCAAGAGCCATTCCACTCTGCAGGGAGCATCAGGCAATGTCTAGAAACATGTTTGGTGGTCACAACTGGGTGGCTGCTCATGGCATGTGGCAGGTGGAGGCCAGGCAGGGGTGCTGCTAGGTGTCCCATGATGTACAAGACAGAACAAGACTACAGAGAACTATCCAGTCTAGCACACGCCCAAACAAGTTATATGGAAATAGGTCTCTTTATCATCCAAGCTATAGTCAGAGAACAAGACTGAAGACAATCAAGAGGTTAAGTCTCCTTTATCATGAGCAACTCACATTCTGATTCGTCTGTGAGTTCAGCGATTATAAGCCCACTTTATTCCTCTGACTCTCTGTTTATGTATAATCCTCATAACTGTCACTTGCTTGCCCACTTTTCTCACCATTCCCACCCCCTCTTCAAATGAGCTTTCAGATACAGGATATTGAAAATGACAGCCATCTAAGCATGCCCTCGGGAAATGCCGTCCTTTGTCCATGACTCTGAGACATAAAAAGCCCTAAAAACCAAATGATTTTTGTAACCTCCATTTCTTTATTTGGCAGCAAAACCCAAACTGAACTGACGTGAGGTGTCAGTCTTGTCTCAGCCCACTGGTCTCTGCTGCTCGCAAGTATTGTGTTGCTTATTGGTGACTTCAGGTTTAACTGCACTGTGGAAATGTCAAAAAGAGTTAAAGACATCCATCCTATGTGTAACAGTGAGAAAAGCAGAGACAGCATTTGTCCTTAGCAACAGCCCAGGAAGTGCAGTTATTAAGGAAGCCGGGTCGTGATCTAGGAAGATGGTAATGAAACGGAAAGGCAAGTTGCTGAAATCTGACTGATTAGTTTGCCACAGAGTGACCAATCATCCCAGATTGTCCAGGATTGATGGGTTCCAGTTTCCATACTGGGACAGTCCCATGCCAACTGGAATGAGTAGTCACCCTACTTTCTCATGAAAGGTTCCAAAATATTCCAAGTAGGAGTAAACGCTGAAGGCAAATGTGACTATTTAGAAGATTGACTGAAGGAATTTAAGAAGCTAAATGGAAATCCAGGGCAAGAAAACGTATTTTGAAGAGAACGACAGAATGTGCTGTAGAGGAACTTGCACAGGGGACATCCTTGGTGGATGCTGTGGTCTGAACTCATTGCTGACCAAGGTCTTCTTCCCCACCTGTTGCCAGCCACGTCTGCCTTTGGAAACTGGCCTTAGCTAAAGAGAGCTGCCTTTGCCACGGTGATGGAATCTCTGTGTCTCAAGGTGGGACAGCTCTGAGGGACCTCCCGGGCTGCAGAGCTCCCTCTGAAATGAGCTGAGGCCTTGGCTGTGACAGCATGGTGCCCCAACTTCTCCATCAGGCTCATCCTCTTTCCCTACCCCCCTGCAAGTGTGGATCCCAAGAATATATCCCTAAAAAACCTCCCAAGCACAATCTTGGCTCAGAATCTATTTCCTGGGACTCAATATAAGACAGTATCTGATAAAAACAAACAAACCAAACTTTTGTCCTGAACATATATACAGTGCTAATCAAACATCCCCATCTTGCTACTAAGCTATAACCCTAGCGAAACCGTAACAAAAGCCAACAGGAGAGAGGTCTGTGAGCTCAGAGTCTTTTGCTGTGTTGAAGCTTTAGGTAAATGCAAGATGCAGTTGTCAGTGATTAGAAAAAGCCAATGTCCGCAATGATAGAAATGTGAGCTCCATTTACCTATTCATCATCCTGCAAATAAGAACTTCCTGAGAAATAGTTTCTAAGTAGTCCAATAACTAGTATACCACTAGCCAGCAATCTGGGCTAAAAGAAAAACATAAAATAATATAGTTTCTGGCATGTCCTCCTCCCTCAGACTTATTTCAAAATATAATGTTTTCGGTTCTGATCTTTTCCTCAATATGAAATCTAGAATGTAGCTTTTTGACCAAGGCATGTTATATTCCATGAAGATCAGATATACATTTTTTCCAACTCTATGTTTGCTATACACTGATATACATGAGAATAGCATTAATAGTGACAATAATGATAATGAAATTGTGAACAATAGTGAAAAGAATCACATACAACAGGAGTCACCAAACTATGGCCCATGGTCCAAACCCAGCCCACCACCCATTTTTGTCAATAAAGTTTTATTGGAACACAGCACACCTGTTTTGGTATACATTATCTATGTCTACTTTTGCACTACAATTACAAGGTTGACTGGGTGATCCGCAAAGCTGAAAATGTTAATTATGTGGCCCTATACAGAAAATATTTGCCAACCCCTGACCTAGAAGGTAAAGTTAGAATGTGTGATATGTTAACTGCTGGCATCAAGAACGAGAGACAGGTGACAATGGGCAAAGTCTTTTGAAGGGTCATTTTTCATGTTACCATTTTGTCCTTAGAGGATCTTATTCCCTGCCTATCAATCCATGGGCAACAACAGCATGATGGGAAAGCTATGACAGTCCTGATATAACCTCTTCTCAAAGGAACTGAAGCATTCAGACCACATGAATAGATGTTGCAGGTATGTGTAAAGGCATTTAACTTATTTTCAATTGGCGCTACCTGATGTTTTACTTAGAAATAGGAAGTACCGGGGCATTTACGGTCCATCATCACACGACCAGTGTGTTACAATATAAATGCACTGTAAATTAACTATTAGACCATCTGTAGCCTCCATGCATCCCACTGGGAGGAATATTCATACATTTTTCTGTAAAAATATTAGTGTGTGTGATTATTGAATGTTGCTCCACTTGCTGAGGGTGTCATGGGAGGTACAGTAAGGGCACATATTACCTTTCTAAAATATGCATAACCGAATTCTAAACACACCCGGCTCTAAGGGTTTCAGGTAAGAAATTGTGAGTGTATATCAATATTCAGCATGCGTTGAAAGCTTGTGTTACCCGGGACTGTGGAAATGCCGTGAATTTAATCAAAGCAAGTGTCAAAGTGTCACTCTATACATGAAGAACATCTGGAATTATCAGACTGAATCAGTTGCATTCTTAATTCACAGAAACCCCTGTCTTGCAGGGGAAAATTTCTAATTGCCAACGTGGCTGCCAATCAGCAATTAAAAATTGTCAAAATGATAAAGAACAGATTCCACGTGGTTGTTTTCCCATTTCACACAGTGGGGATGTAACTGAATACAAGTCTGGCTACCTAGCACTTGAAAACCCAGGCTGGAGAGACAAGTGTCTGGTGATAGGAAAAACAGGTGTATTCAAGAGCCGGCAGCCTGCGGAGATGGTGGGCTCATGTCTCAAAAACGATCTCAAATTCCTCAGTCTACCAAGAGGTTTTAAAGGGAAAGGAGTTGTGGGAAACTACCTACGTGCAGGTCAGCGTGCCTTGTTCTGGTGGCTATCTTGAGCGGGGGCCATCTGCTGGTCTGGCCTGTGTCAGCTAGACCACAACAGAATGGAAGGGTACCTGGTCAGCATTTTTCTCCAGGG